GTCTGTTAAGTGCCTTAAAAATGCTTTCTAATAAAGTCAGCTGAAAGCAAAAGTACAAAAAGAAAATTTACCAAATTCAAAGTAGACAACCCAGTATAAAAAAATCCAGCATAAGAGGTTTGATGTTGTTTTCAACAAAAAAGACACAGGATAAAGTACATTTTTCTTTGTAAGGTTCAGGCAATGACCACTTCCTACCCACTTCACCTCCAGGGAGCCCCCAGGTTACAGTCCCTTCAATCTTTTATATCATAGGTGCCTGTCCAGCATTTAGCTGTGATTTCAAGCCCCAGATAAGCCTCTGAATATTTCTCCCTCCCAGGGTTCTCTAACCTCGCCTGGACGGAACATCCCTGTACCAGCCTTGAAAAGTCTGAATCCCTCTGGCTCTCCTGAGCATTTTAATCACCCGGGCAGCAAAGACAGAGCCAATAACTGCCAGTAATCAACTTGACCATTACTAAATTATTCAGCTGGAAGCAAAAGAGTGCTCCCACCCTGCTAAGAAAATGTTTGTATTTTAGAGAGATGCTTTTTCCATGTACTGCCAAGAATCAAATCCCTGTAAATTAACAATCCTGGTTTATAGAAAATGGTTCATTGCTAGTTGTTAACTGGACAAGACATGGTAGCATTCACCCATGCTGGGGTGATAATGGGGTCCAGATTTCATAGAATCATGGAATGGTTTGTGTTGGAAGGGACCTTAAAGCCCACCCTGTTGCACCCCCTACCATGGGCAGGGACACCTTCCACTAGACCAGGTTGGTCCAAGCCCTGTCCAATCTGTTCTTGAACACTTACAGGGATGGAGCAGCCACAACCTCTCTGGGTAAATCTCAGACGCCATTTGGAGGAGTACCAGGACTCCTTTTTAAAACAATTCCTTGTACATGTTGTTCTCTGAGGACTGAAGATGAAAATCTCATAGAAACTTTACGGCAAAACAGTTTCAGAGGAAAAAGCCTGTTATATGAAACTAAATTATTTGCCTTGAAACTGCCTTATATAGAACTGCCTTATACAGAATGCAACGAATCAAAAGCAGAATAACTAAGGAATATTTCCTAAATTTATGGTGAACAACGGGACTATCTGATGCTGCCAGTCCTGTATCCTGTATCCCACAGGACTGGTTATTAGTCCCAGATTCACAGGGTCCAGGGCTCTGCAGCCTGGGGATAGCTGGCCATGAATGCAAATCTGAAGCTGAACCCCACGTGTAACTAAGAGTCACAGCTTGTCCAGGCCCAGGCATGAGGGTCCTGCCCAGCTCAGGGGTCTGTAGCTGCCATGAATCCTGGGCATACCACGGCTGGAGCTGCTCAGGCATCCTGGGAGCACCAGCAGCTGCCAGGTGACAATGACACCCCTGTCAGGTTTACGGCTCTATTAGCAGCAGTGGGGCTGACAAGCATTTATACACAATTCAGGGGGGACAAGAGGGCAGGAGGTGTCCTGAGGAGCAGCACTAGGGCCTCAAACCTCATTTTGGGATGTTTCCGAAAACACTTTTTTTTTTCTATTTTAAATTCCCACTCTGAGGTTACTTTTACAAGTTTGATTGGACTACAACCAAGAAAAAAACCTTCTCACAAACTGAAAGCCCATGTGCTTCAGCCAGCTCCACTCTGCACTTCAATTGCTTTAAAGCAGAGGCCATGTGTTGTGTTCTCTCAGGGATATGCGGGAAGGTGAAATAAAAGAGAGTGAAGAAAAAAAATATTAAAAAATATCAATGCTTAGAGTAAAATGAAATAGAACTGCTAAGGGCTATAGCAGTCTGAAAATCAACAACATGGAGACAACTCTCAAGGACAATCCTCCTTTCCCCGTGTCTTTTCTAAACACACATCCTTTCAGCTCATGCTCTCCTGCTCCCCAAACACACAACCCCAGACCTTGCCTAGAATACCTGTGACTGGAAAGAGTTTTGAGCTTAATGGGATGGACATCTCACCAAAAACCATTTCACAGGGGTTAAGACACTAGTTTCCAACCTCCTGAACAAATTAACCTCCCTGCTCACAGCCTGTATTTTTCAAGCCTCTACTTGGTGATTCCTGATGAGATTCCTGAGGTTATGCCTTAAAAGTTGTTCTCTATATTTCATTTTGAAGCAGTCTGTCCCCAGCTGCCAGATTTATTATTCCAAAAGCTGGGCATGTGCATCTTGTGCTAAAGAAAGACATAAAATATTCTGAGAGAGCTTTCCCATCCCATGTGAGCGGCTGTTCAGTACCAGCACTCAGTGTTTTTAGATCAAGTGCATTTTAATACATCTATACTCTTGGTATGTCCACTTTAGATTTGACAAATTCTGAGAAGCAGCATTCCTGGTTTCCCCCATATTGATAAGTTACTTCTGAGATCCTAGCAACTGGGGTTCGTATCCTTCATGGTTTTGTAGGCACTTACACAGCTGTGCAGGCACAAAATAAAGAGAACTCAGTAGAAAAAGAAGGAAGAAGCGGATGTTCATGTCTTGTTTTCTCAGAGGAAAAAGAAAAGGTAAAAGAAAAAGCTCCTGCAGCTGTGCAGCACAGACACTGCTCCTGCTCCCTATTCTGCCAAGACTTTTCCCTTCCTGGATGGAGCATTTTTCCATGGACCCATCAGGGCATCTCATCTCTGTATGTGTCATCTATTAGAACTACAAAAGTACCAAAGACATTCCTGCTTCCTGCCTGCAGAGATGGACTATAAATGGTGCCATTCCCATTCCTTCTAACTTTGATCTGATAATTCAAAAATAGCTAAAAAACTGAACACCAAACTGCTGAAGCCAATTATAGCTTCATTCTTATCTCTCTGCACTGCCTTTTTTTAAACTACAAAAGATGTCCATCTACATAACTGAGTTAAAAACAAATGACAGAGAGCAAGACAAATACATCACTCAATTCCATGTACCTATTTTGTTACATTTCCTCTCTAAACCATGAAACTCAGCAAGACAGAAACTTCCCTATAGCCCTGAGGAATATTTGCTTTTACTCTCTGTTATATCATGTGAACTTCAACTCTTTACAAAAGGTTTTCTGACTTCATGGTAGAAAAGGAAAGGTAGAGAAGTAATTTGGGGGAGATCAGAAGCACAAAGCAGTGCAATGGGAGGTTCCCTGCCCATGGCAGGGGGTTGGAACTGGATGATCTTGAAGGTCCCTTCCAACCCAAACTATTCTAGGATTCTGGGATCTCATTAAAGACACAACCCTGAGTGCCTGCCCTGAGGAGAAAGGTTTGCACAGACCATTTTGCATGAGCAAGTTATGGAGAATCCCAGAGAGGGTCTCTGCATATGGCAAATGGTCAGATTTGAATGTGGTTTCCCAAAAGCAAATTGTTCCTTATGAAACACCATTTCTTGCCTTTGAATGAGCAAATTCAGAAATACAAAAAGAAACAGGGACTCATTTTGGTAAGTCCTGTAAGTCGAGGATCAGAAAAGTGGGAATTTGGACCTCCCTTCCTTCATAGGTTTAGTTATGGCACTCAAGTGCATAGATTTTTAAAATCAATTCCTACGAGGACACTTTAATGAATGAACTAATGAAAGTATAACACTTAACGAAAACCATTTACTCAATTTAAAGAATAAAATCCTTTGCATTTTTCTCATCTGCTCTGGAAAGCAGTTATTTACAATTTTCATTTATTTATATTAAAATCTCATGAAAGACAAGCACCATATTGTGTCTGACAGACTGCCACGCATTATTTCCAAATTCCAGTTAAATGAAAAATCAGGGAGATGACTAGCACTGAGCAACTTATTTGAATTTACTCAACACTAAGGAGCTTGACAAAAAAGGGACTGGGACAAAACTGTGTGTGGATGGAGAGAGTGAAAACCATACAGGCTGATTTAAGCCTTCAACATAACTCATTTCCATCTCTATGAGAAACACAACAATTCAACCTAACTCTGCATAATTGGAGACTGGGATAAATGGGACCAAAAGCTGAACTTTTTCCAATTTCAGTTTTAATGCAGTAAAAGGTACAGCCTACACTTTGTAAAACAAAACGATCTTTTTCCTTTCAATTTCTTTTCTTTTTTTCCTTTGAACTGTTTATCTTCTTTTTTTCTTGGTCTCTTGGAAGAGGACTGCTACATTGAAATTATCTGTACCTGCTGACATTCACTGCACTTCATGGCATAATGACGCCCCACTATGATATTTCAGGGACCAACTGCATGTACCAGAGCAGCTCCACTGCCTGAAGTGTCTCTGTGGCAGGGGATTCAGGAGAATCCAGTAAAGACACCTCTGCAGCAGAATTGTTTACTGAAAGAACTGAATTTGACATTCAAAAAACCGAATCTGGCATTTTTTTACACTGTAGCATAACATCTCTTAAATGGAAAAGGGAGAGGAAACAGTAAGAGCAGAGGCAGAGAAGGGTTTAGCAACCAACTTGTTGAGCTTACACCTGAATTGATGTTTTAATTCATCTGAAGATATTTGTTTAATAAATAGAATATCCAAGAGGCAGATTAAGCCAAAAGACACAGAAAACAATAAAAGATTACCTTTGGTTTACCTCTGTTCAGCAAGGGCTTTGCTGTCAAGCAGATAAATCACAGTTTATTTAAACAGCTACTAAGCATTTCTGCTCTCCAGACAGAGGTGTTAACCTTGCTGAAGCAGCTCTGCCTCTACAAGATTTATTTCTAGTCCAACCATTCTGGTAACTTACCTGCTTGCAACTCTTAATTCACAATGGTTAAATAAAAGAATACACACTTGTAACCTCTGACCATAGCAGAAAGCATTACTGAAACCTTTCAATTTAAACAGGAACAGCAACTGATCTGATACACGGCAAAACTATCAATTATTATTGGAGACTGGAGTTGTTGGCTTGTCCTCCCTGTCCTGAACAACTCATCACAGCAATTAGACATTAAGGGCATTATTATTTTCCACGTTTTCTTTGTCTTTGCCTGCTATTCTTTAAAAAGGACAGCAAATACTAGATTAATAGAAACTCACCAGTGGAGTGTCTTTCCCCCCAACGATGCTGAGTCCCAGGCCTGACCGACCCTTAGATATCTCTATAGTCATCTCTTGCCCTGGAACTATGGGACATGTTGCTGGATCCACAGGCAGTGGAGGCGGAAAGACACCTAAGACCATAAAAAAGTAAAAAAATAAGTCACACTATACAATAAGAAAATTAAAACCTCCAAAGGAATTGTACAACAACAACTAATAAGCTCATATTTTCCTATTAATTTTAAACAACTGAACTAGAGGACTATTCTGAGTCACCTCTGAATTCTTTAAATCAGAACAACTCGAGTTCTGGAAGTAAATGTTCAGAGGAAATGTCTGGGAGCACATCTAATTCAGTTAAAACCTAGACAATTCAGATCATGATGGCAAGGGGTCCCGATCACTTCAGGACAGATAAGTACATACTCCAGCATCATGAAACAGACAAATTTCCCAAACTGTCTTGACTTGTATTTTACTCAAAAACAGGAACAAGACCTTTGTACATAGAAGTCAAGAAAAACAAGCAAAGACACCTTCAAGAAAAACAAGCAAAGACACCTTCAAGTTCTGAAAAATTGTAAAATGAGAGAAAAATACAAACACTATAAAAAAATAGGTCATTGGATGTTCAAAGAAAAAAAAAATCTCAGTAAAAGTTATCTGGAAAACAAAATGGAAACATCCATCCTGGGTTAAGGTATTAAAAATACGCTATATTGTGAAAAAAAGAACTGGTTCATACTACGGTTGGTGACTTCTGCCTCTGGAGAAAGGTAAGTAGGTGCTGGCTCCAGGGGTATCTCCTGTAAGCTGAGTGGCACTTTTGTTGAAGATTTGGATTGTTTGATCTGGTTGAGGTCCTAAAAGCAAAGCAGAAGCAAGAGAGATCAGTTATCAGTCATAGAATAGCACATTAAGTTGATATTATCATTAGCTGTTCATTATCATACCTTACTAAATCCTCAAACTTAATAGAAGGAAAATAAGCAATTTCCACATACTTAAAAAGAAGTAATTTTTCAAGTTTCCACCAATAAAATTATTTTAATGTCTCCCCAGTTAGCCCCTTCCCCTCATAAATCACTCACTCTTCAACTAGATGAAGCCCTCAGAACCCTCCCTTTCTGGTTAACATAAACACAGAGATATTTTCCTAAACACCCGTACATTTTCTGGGAGCTGCTCCTCTGTTTCCTGCTGATCTGTCACCACTGGTTTCTCAGCTTTATGTTTCACATCCTAAAAAAGAAAAAAAGAAAGTTAGGTGCATTGAAAATGTCTCTTTAGTTTAAATAAAATATCCTCCAAAACTCAAAATGATGATTCTGCGCTAACGCAATGATATTTTGGAGGGACAGGACAAGAGGGAATGGCTTCCCAGTGTTAGAGGACAGGGTTAGATGGGATATTGGGAAGGAATTCCTCCCTGTGAGGGTAGTGAGGCCCTGGCCCAGGTTGCCCAGAGAAGCTGTGGCTGTCCCATCCCTGGAAGTGTCCAAGGCCAGGTTGGATGGGGCTTGGAGCAGCCTGGTCTAGTGGAAGGTGTCCCTGCCCATGGCAAACCTAGAATTTGAGTTGGGTTCTAAGATTCTATAATTTCTTTGTGTAAGTCCATTTGCAGCACCAAACAAAGCTGAAATCCAAAATGAGAAGAGAAAAATCCAGTGTGAACACAGGAATTATTAAAAACACACCCCACAGTTTTGAAGCCATATAACGTAAGGGAGGGACTTTCAGAGAGGAGATTATCACATATGCTCTATATTGCTCCAGAGCAACATGAAGCTCTATAGAAGAAGGAAGTGTGTCCTCTGGAATGACCAGGACAGCAATTCCCCTCAGTGCCCACAGCAGAACAGGGCTCAAAGTCATCTGGTCTCTCCTCCTCCCCCTCCCTTTTTGGCACTCTTAGATAAAATAACTGCTTAAAATGCATCCTCCAGCCTCATTATAAAGATCTGCAACAATGGTATTTCAATCACAGGCTCCACTTGTAGCCTTATTCCTTTTTGAACCCTTGCAAACCACTAAAATATATTTTTTTATCTCCTACTTCTGCAGCTGCTTCCAGACAGTTACAGTGCTCTCCCTCCTTAGCTCATAGCCAAACCGGGGTCACTTTGATTCCAGTATCAGTTATCTTACCCCATGTCAAAAATCCTGATAAACAGCCCTGTTTGCAGAAAAGCTGAGTACCAGCTTCAAAAGACAACAGAGATATTCTGCATCTCAAAAGAATTTCTAATTAAGATGACAATTCATACACAAAAAAAAAAAAAAAAATTAAAAAATAAAAATCAAATTTTAGGTAACCAAGCTTGAAAATACTGGCCTTGTTTGCTAAAGTTTTATTATGTTAAATGATGCCAAGTCCCACAGGATCTTTTTTTTCCCCTGCATTTTTCTCCAAGTTGTAGTTCTACAACTCTAACAATTATCCAAATGGATAATGGGAAAAAAGATAAAGTGGTGATCTCATTGTATTATCAGAGGTGTCAGGGGAGAAATGGGAAGACTGCTTTGTCATTTTCTGAGAGATTGTTTTAGTGAGCAATGAAAAATTATTTCATACTTCCCTTTTTCATTGTGATATGTGACTGAAATCTGAAACTTCATCTTGAACACCAAGTAAACACCAAGCATCATCTTCACATCTCTCTAATCTTTTAACTAAGACTGTGCTAGAGGTACCTGAATAAAATAAGCACCAAATTGGACACTCAGGATTTGTCATAAGCCTGCAACCGACTGATTTAATCTAATTTAAACCACTCAAATCCATCCAAAAGCATCTTCACAAAGCTCCTCCTCTTTGCCAATGTTTCAAGATTGTGTTTTCTGTTTGTGGTAAAGGCACATTATTTTTCCAAGTTCAAACCTTTAAAGGAAAATGAATCCATTCTCACATACCATTTTTACCTTTGTTGAATTAAAACTTTCCAGAACATCTCGAAGTCCCCTTATATCAATTCTCTTCCAACAACACTTCGTGGAAAGCAAGATTGCTCCAGTCCTCAGAAACCCACAACCTTCTCTCAGGCCACCTCAAACCTCAGCTAATAAACACTCAGACTTTGCCTAACACTTTCACTGGCTCCACTTCAGAAGTAAAGTTGTTTTCCTTCCCCCTTCTTATCATCCAAGTCTACAATGATGTCCATTATAGAACTTTATAGCTTTTAAAGTGATGAAGTGACAACAAAGAGTATGTTGGGAGAGACTGACAAATTTATCAGCAACAGATGAATGAAGAACGATGCGAATTTTTTTAGTTTTCCTTTTATTACAGCTGTCACTTGGTGAGACATCCTGCTCATGCTTTGAGCTGTACATACTTGTGGAAGATCTCTGCCGATAAGCACATACTTTTTATTTACTCAGTGAACTTGATCTTACTTGTTGACTTTTACATTCCTGATTTCTCCTGACACATGACTGAGAAATTCAACAACGGTGAAGTAGCACTGAGGCTCTAGTAGCAACCATCATGCTCTGAAAAACAAGGCACTGGGTTTTCTTTTGCCTCCATAGTCACTAAAGACTGCAAGAGAAATCTCTTTTCCCCAAAATACTGAGCTTTCTTGTGCTGATCTGCTGTGTCAGAGTCTTAATCCCAGTGTGACTACAAACCCACTTCCTTCTGGTCAGAAGGGAACAATCACAACCATCAGTATTACCGAAGTTAAGATACACTCAGAAATATTTGCCATGTAGTTTTAAAATCCTGATGGAAAGAAAACTGAAATTATGAAACTGCCTTTTGCCACTATTTTTCATCCATTTATACTCCTAAACCAAGGTTTGGTCCAACTGAAGGTGTTATGGAACAAGCAGTTGGATCTATAGACATTCCAATACTTTTCTAAATCCACCTCCTAGCCCTAAACTTTTCAATAGTGTTTATTTAATGGAGAAATCAGCGAGCCACCTCTAAGCAAATATCCACTGAATGAAGGCCTTTGTCTTCTCTTACGTTAATGCCACTGCTCTATTTTGGACAACTCTTCATCTTTTTTTTTTTTTTTTTTTAACTTTTCAACTCCTACCTTTTGGCTTCACAGTTCCCTTCCTTCTTGCTTCAAGTCTGAAAAGAAGCTGCCAATATATACTGGGTTTCCTGTTGTTCCAGAGGTATCTTCCCTCCACACCTCTCTGGGATTGTTGCAATTTTTTTCCCCATTAAATTCACATCTCCTCTAATATTATTCAAAAAGCTGCACAGCACAATAGCTTATATGAAGAGTTCATTTTTGTATAAGAGATTTTATATATTTTTATCCACTTCGGTCTTTGAGCAATTTCTCATATTACCTTGTAATTTCTCTAAAGTTTCTTGCCAAGTTGAGCAAGAACACTAATAAAATCAGGTGAATAACACCTGTAAATACATACAATAAAACTCTGATTCATTTATATTCCAGTCTATCAAAGGACTGTGCACAAAGCTACCAAATAGCAATAATTCAACTTCTTTGTAATCCATTAGGAACATAAATCAATCCATGGTGATTAATTCTGATGACTGAATAGCACATAACACTTTCTAACTCTTGGAGTTCACAGACTCATTAATTACTTACTAGCTACAGAACATTATGTATATTCAATTTATATTTGCAAAACCCAGGACACTCTTTGCAAAAGACATGATGGGGCAGGAAAAAAACACGTAAGAGAAAAACCATCCAAAAATGTCAGGTTTTCTTAGCTGAGGACACATACAGACTGTGCAGGCACAGCAAGTCCCAGCCAATGCACTCCTTGAAACAGGAGAAGGGCAAAAAATCTGCCTCAGCAAATTTTAGGCACCTCTAGGTTAGTTATGTTTAGTAGTTTTCCATTTTAAACTTTATTTAACATAGAGTCCAAAAAAAAAGAGATTAGAGTTGCACCCTGAAGGACTTTCAGATTTCTGATAATGCACAACCCTGACTTATTAAACAACAAAAAGCTCCATCTGTATCAATGAGAAGTTGAGTATTTATTACAGTGCACACTGACAGACCCATATTAAACCACAAGTTATGAGCTTAATGCAGAAATTGCTGAGAGTAACTCTATAGCTGTGTTATTCAGGAGGCAAGACTAGATTATGATAATAGACATTTTGGCCTTAGAATTTATGAAGCTATGAATATAAATAAGAATACGATTTACAAACCAGAGTTTTTCTGAAGTTTGTCACACATGGATGGCAGGAGTGGAAACTCAATGCCTTCACTCACTAAGAATCCAAGAGAGGGCCAAAAGGCTACATGAAAACTCTTATCTTGATATTTTAACAAATTATACTGACTGCTTAGTTCATGAAAACAGTCTGTGCATATAAAGCTGAGAACTTGCTTTTACATATACTGGGTATTTTTTGACATAAGTCCTGCAATACTCCAATAAAAAAGCAGAGAAAAGCAATCAAGCCAGTGAGCCATTTCCTAAGCTCTAATAAATGATTAAATGTTGTTTTAAGTCTCTTACAGCTTTGTTGGATTCCTCATCAGTCAAACTTTTCATGACAACTTCCAAACTCGGGTCTTCTTCACCGCTTGCAGGTTCAGTGCCACCATGATCCTGGGGGAAAGGATTGACAACAGTTTTTAAACAGATGTACGAAGAGGCCTCCTCGAGATCTCTGTTTCATACTCAGCACATAACAGGAAGCCTAGTTTACTTCACACAGTCTGAACAGGCAGGTAGAATCATGGAATGGCTTGGGTTGGAAGATCATCCTGTTCCATCCCCTGCCATGGGCAGAGACATCTTCCACCATCCCAGGTTGCTCAAAGGCCCGTTCAACTTGGCCTTGGACACTTTCAGGGATGGGCCAGCCACAGTTTCTCTGGGCAACCTGAGTCAGAGCCTCACCACCCTCCATTTTTTCCCAATATCCCACCTAAACCAGCCTAGTCTAAAGTATCACTAATTCAGTTACATGCAAAATTTAACATGTTGATTTTCATTCCCTTTTTTAAACCAACCAGGTCCCGAACTTGAAAAGATTTTTATCTATTATTTTGATTTACTTAATTTTAAAATAATTGATCCAAATTTGGAGCTGTTAGCTCTTGTAAAGTAAAATGAACTATCTGCAAAAAATAATTTTTCAATACCTTCAGTCATAGAAACAAAATTATTTCTGAATTTTCATTAGACATTTTACACTGAAGTGCATAAGATGAATATAAAGAGATCAGATGAAGATAAAGAGATAAGACGAAGGAAACTAACACAATAATAGATGGTAACTATGGCACCCTGATAATCCATTACACCAGCCAGGCTATTTAATGTGATCTGACAAGCTACATGCAGGGTGCACATAAGACACAATGTTAAATATTTATTCGGTTATTTCAAAGACATTTGAAGACATAATTTCAGGATATAAGGCTTTTTTTCTTTTCTTTATTTAAAGACAGGAAGAGCTGCCAAAGGAAAGCAATGCATACTTCTATACAACATCACTATTTTTGGTTACATTTATTTTAGATAATAAAAAAAATACTAGCTAGAAGTAAAAACCTGCATTTACTTATAAAACAAACATAATGTAAATAGTAAGAGCTTGCCATTAATGCACGAAACTCAACCCACAAGCATCTCCCTCTAAAGACAAACACAGCACAGGCTTTGGTAGAGGTTAATTACAGTTATTTGACCACAGCACAGAATGCGCCTAAACAAAGTTTTCTGCTTCATCCTGAAGACACAAATATTAAAAAAAGCTGGGAACAAATGCAGGTATTAAAGAGTCAACAAAAATAAAATGAACTCTGTAAACTGTAATTTGCAATGCACCAGGTTGCACACACAGGACATGCTGCTGGGATGAAGGCAAGAACGAGAAGCCAAAGTTTGTCCAAATATTACTCAGATACAAATAAAATCTAAGCAGTTCTTGCACTGTACAGCACTAGGCCTGCATGGAACAGCCATCAGTGGTAAAATAACCTGGAATGCAACAGCAAGCAAGGAGATGCAAACAGGAGATGCATCCAGCATTACCTCACATGGACCTGCGCTGAGGGATCACAGTGATGCTCATGGAAATACCAGGAGTTCAATGCACATGAATTTCATCAAGGCAAGACCAAACCTCAATTTAATTATAAAGCATCTTTTGCTTTATTAGCTCAAACAGAAATAGAATTAAAAAGCAACAGCAAGGCTAAGCATGTAGTTTATCTAGAAAATTTAGTTATGCCACATTGAGATGTCAAAATAATAACAGTGTGGTGACCCTGCAGAGATTCACGGTGCTCAGGAGAGAAATCAGTCTGCACTGGGCCTGAGGTAGCAACTCTAATGATGGAAAACACTGGTAACATTACTAAACTAAGATAGTTTTTGCATTGGAAGGTTGTTCTAGGCAAAAGTTCCTCACCACGACTACTCTAACCAGCTGAAAAAGGAGCAGGTTAGGAGACGGCAAGGTTTTAGTTTGGAGCCTTCACTTCCTCCTGTACAGCAATAACATCTTTAATACCTGCTGCTAATGACTTTCAGTAACACTGAGACCAATAAAAAAGAGACGGGGAAAATAAGCCTATTAGGTCAAGTCTCTACCCAACGCATTTTATGATTCAGAGTTTAATTAGACAAGGTGTTCGAACTTATCATGAGCTGCTAATTATGATTAATCTATCTAATTTAGTAATCCCTAATTAAAAATAACAACCCACAAACCTTACCTCAATGGAAGAATGGGAGCCTGAAGGTAATGGGAAGGGAGTAACAGCCATCTGATTGACTGCATCTTCACTCCTGTACAACAAAGAACATGTTACACACCAAACCATCATGGACAAACTTTCCTTTTGAGTTGGTTCTGCCCATCAAGAAATTACTCTCAGTAGCATAAAAATTCACTGTTGCCTACCAGAGTTAAAGCTTAGAAAAGCACTTCGTTTTGGCTCTTCTTTGCTTGCAAACAGATCACATCCCTTCTTGGGACTGCAGTAGTTTCATCTGGGACGTGCTGACATCACATCCTTTGGAAATCTGATTTTGTGTGGATTAGCAGAGGATGCAGTTGGAGTTTATGGTCCCTACACATCAGCAGATGCGCTAACACTTTGTTAGCCTCTTCTAATAGTGTCCAGGTCAGTAAACTGCTTGTTTATAGTCTCACATCCACATTACTGAAATACAATATCTGTTGTAATATATTAGATTGCGGGTTTTTTTTGTTCCTTTTTGCTGTGGTATTTTCTTAAAGATTTAATGTAAAAACTTGGAATAAATGTTATGAAATGTAGGGATAAGAGGAGATGAACACTGATTCTCCCTGCATTATTTTCTCCAAGACGCTTATAATGTATGGCATCTTTTCCTCTCTCCTCTTTAAAATGCTTCTGAAGTTGACATCTGATTACTTCGTGACTTCCAAAAGCCTGGTTTTTTTCATTAAACAGTATTCTGCCTTGCTAATGTTTTTCCTCAACTGCCATTTAAAATGATGGGGCTTGTGGAATTAGCTCTGCATTTTTCTGGCCTCTGTAAAAAGAAACCAAGTAATATATGATTTCAGTGATAACATCTAAGGCAAATTATCATAGAACCATAGAATGGTTTGGGTTGGAAGGGACTTTAAGGCTCATCTCGTTCCAATCCCCTGCCATGGGCAGAGACACCTTCCACTATCCCAGGTGGCTCCAAGCCCCATCCAACCTGGCCTTAGACACTTCCAGCGATGAGGCAGCCACAGCTTCTCTGGGCAACCTGTGCCAGGGCCTCTCCACCCTCACAAGGAAGAATTTCTTCCATATCCGATTGACATCTGCCCTTATTCAGCTTCAAGTCATTTCCTCTCATCCCATCACTTCATGCCTTTGTGAACAGTCCCTCTCCAACCTTTCTGCAGGCCTCCTTTTTAGGAGGAATCAGCAATATTGCTGCTTCACAGCTTCTCAGATGAAGGGAAATGACTGTTCATGCAGTGGGTCTTCTGGGTTTGATTTCTGGTCCTGTTTACTACATTCCATGTCACTGTGACACAAGCAGGATTTTTTCCTCTTTAATTTCTAGAATAAGCTATTAGACTAGAATGTGCTTAAAAACGTTTTACAGAAGTGCCTGAAAGAAAAAAGTCTTATTTTATCCCTCGAGAGTTAAACACATGAAGCTAAAACACATGAAGTTAATAAACAGAAGCATGTTCTGATCACTGAGAAATAACACTGTGAATCAATAGCTCTCAGCACAGCAGCAAATGGGAGTCACAGGCATTTGAAATGATAAATCCTGCAGGCAAAGGCTGGTGAATTCATTTACTTATCTTCAACCAAACAGCCATACCATTCAAAGGGACTGGTTGGGTGCTGCTCATTTCTGTACTCGCTCCCAGCCTCTCCCCTTGGCCCTGCTCAAAGCCTTGCAAGAGTGGGAAACCACGCTCAGATCACGGCATGGTTCGTGATGCAGAGACATGGGGCCAAGACACACATCTGAGGCAGGCACAGAACCAAGCCCAGGAATTTCATCAGCATTTCACAATTTCCAAGTGCATTTTACCCCGCCAGGCATATTGGGCAAGGACATTCTCCCTCCTCTTATCTTCGTGAGACATCGATCTCATTATGTTGCTTTTCTAACCTACAAGAATAAACCATCCCATGTGAGGTGTCGGAGGCCTCCCAATTTTTCTTTGACTGTAGAGTTTTTTCTGATAATAGTTTATATAAAGCACAATCAGCATGAAAACTAACCCCACTCTGTAGCTCACAATTAGACTTAAACAAGAAAATAACAAAGTATGTATAAATCTTTGTAGGAAATACTCTAAAAATTGCTACACAGAAGCTCCTGACAAACTGGGATGTAATTAATTATCCAAACTAGTTTTGACTTCATATAGACACACCTTTTTTTTCTATCAATGGGAAAATATCTTTATGCAGCTTTAAATGGATGGCTATTTTTATTTCAAGCAATAAAAACCCACTTACAGTAATTCCCTGGGAAAAAAAGGAAAAAATATAAAACCCCCCAAGGTTACACAGTGTCACAACTTGTAATCTCCCCCTGCTAGGACTCGTACATATTTAAATACTTTAATGTTGCTTCAAAGGAGAATGCTTCAAAGCAGAATCAAAGTGAGAACATATTTTAAAGTGACAGATCTAATAATAAATTGCTGTTTCTGCTCTCCACTTCCATAAGTGTCCTCAACCAAAATGTGAATTTATTTACAACTAAAAGGAGTAATCATCTTCTTTTGAGGCAGGAGCAGACAGCTTAAAAGTCTGAACATCGTATTCAAATTACAGTGACTGCAAATGAGAATTCAATGTATTTGCCAATAGTTGCTCCATAACCACCTCCAAAAAAGCTGTTCTCAGTTACCAGTGCTCACTATTGCTTGGGGTTAAGGTGTCTAAACCCTTCACAGTCAAGACACAGCTTCATAGTCTCAAGTCAAAGCAACATAAATGAAATTTATACAGCACGAAGGCTTAGGTGTTCCCCCTTCATTATCTGCAAAAATTACAAACATTCATGGTTCTTATTCCAGCTCCTAGACTGGTTGGTATCTGATACTGGGATAGGAGCCCACCTCCTGGGTGGGCACCAGAGAACTGTTTAAATTTCTTCAGGACTACATAAACTGAGTAGGAAAGGAATTCATCACTCCTCCCACAAATTCCAGGGCAGGGTCACCTTCCGCTAGACCAGGTTGCTCAAAGCCCCATCCAACCAGAGATGGGGAGTCCAAAATCTCTCTGGGCAACGTGTTCCAATGCCTCACGACCCTTCTAGCAAAGAATTCCTCCCTAATATCTAATCTGAATCTTCCCTCCTTCAGCTAAAGGCCATTCCCCCTTGTCCTGTCACTGCTGCCCTTGTGAAAATTTTCTGGTTTCCATTTTACTTACTCTTACATCCCTCAGGTTTATGGTGGTACAAGCTCATTGTCATGCAATGCCAAGAAAATCCTTGTTTAATGTGGAATGAGATTCCTTGCCTGTCTAAAGCAGAGCACCTCACCTACAAGTGTCCAAACTTCTATGATCAGTACAAAAACCAAGCCAAATCCTAAACCAGACCCACTCAAAAGGGCAATCCCGGCACCTAAATGACTTAATTTAGGACAGGATGAATAGAATTGCTCTTCAGGGGCTCCTGACAACTGCTGACTAATCACAGAAGTCCAGATGTCCTCTAGTTGTCTAAACTAAGGGACACAATTCTCCTGCCAAACTATCTGCAACTACACAGTTCATGAACACTAAGAGATCATTTGACAACAGCTTTGTAAGTGGTTGTGGATGTTTCTTGGGAATAAAAGGTACATGAAGAATCAGAATAAAAACCCTTGTATGAAGTGATATGACATCTTACTGGAACAGATCTGTGGACAAAGGGAATAAACATTTGCTCTGTAAGCCTTAGAACTCCCACTACTTGTGACACCAGGACATAAAGTCCTGCAAATTACTAAAAACATATACTGTACACATCCTGCTTGCTAATTAAAAAAAAAAAAAGTCCGGGCAGGATCATTTTCTCATCTTTGTTTTCCCTCTAGAAGTTCCTTTGGAAAAGAGGAGCTGCAGGAAAGTTGCACACTGAGAAGCCACACTGGATTATTCCTTCAGCTGGGTCAAAAAGACCTTTGTGTTATGCATCTTCTCAAAAAAATTCTCCTATTAGCAGCAAGAACAGTCTTGTTCTCCATTTCCTCTCCATCCACTCCTAACTACATGAGAGCCAAATGCATCCAGGTATTTTAAATGAACAACTAACGTACATATAAACTATAGCTTAGGTCTTCAAAGGTTTGAAAGAGCCCAAATTACTTAACTTCCTCAACTATGTGCTTGTTCCCACATGTGTATGACAGCAAGGAGGAAACAGCTCTGAAGAAAACAGGAAATGTTCAAACTTGCACACACAGTGCCTGGCAAGGGCTTACTTTTTAAGCTTTCCCACATGAAAGAACCTAAGCAACCAAAGCAAGTAAAAACAGAGTTTATACCATTAAAATATGGTCAATTATCACAAAATATTCTGAGTTGGAAGGGACCCACAAGGCTCACTGAGTCTAACTTTTGAGTGCATGGCCCATATGGGGTTATGTAGGTTAGAACAAACAAGAAATTATTATCTGAAGTATGACAGCATTTGAGATAACATAAAATGTTACTTATGGAGGTTTTAAAAGAAGAGCAAAGACCAGTGACAAAGTCACAGCAATGGGGACTGTTAAACAGCCAGCCCAGACACTGCCTTGGCTTTCCCAGTCCTTGGAGTAGAAGGATCTCTCTCCTTTGCATGCCACCATAAATAACAGAATAGTCTTTAGAATTACACCTGGAAATGGAAGGAGGGGTTGGGTGACAGAGATTTGTGGGCTTCATCGAGGAGCTACAATCCCATCAGCAGGAAGCAATGATAACAGAACGATGACTGCAGTGTGGGAGGGCTCTGGACAGCAAACAGATGGTATTTTAATCAGCAAAATCCCTTACTCTGAAAGCACTTCTCATGTTTCACACAGCACAAGACAATTTTCTTTTAAAGAATAAAGGTAGACCAAAGAATGACTCACAAAACTGAACACAATGGGAGGATGGTTTGAAATCAGTGGCATTCACTTTGATTCAAGCATTCAACTATATTTGATCTGCTTATTATACCAACAGTGAAGCACTAAACCAGATTAAAGGCAGTTAATTGAGCATGGAAAAAACCACTGAATTTGCTGAATCATAAAATTCTCCCTGTAAAAGAGCATTCTGATATAAACTGGATTTCCTACTACAGATGTAAAATCTAATTATATTGTTTTATTATGCATCTTACAAGGATGGACTTACAATGCATGAACAAAAACCACAATGGATAGAAACACATTCTATTTTGGGAACTAGGGCACAGACACTCCTACAAGAAGCAAGTCCATTTCTGATATTATTACCTGGCTAATTCCTGTTGGAAAATTAGACCAAGAATTTCAAAAGGTAACTAAGACATTACAACACTTATTGCCACTATATTGACACTACATATTGACACTATAACTGCAAATCTTTTAGATGCTTTCAGAAGCTCACGTAATTAATGAGACCACTGGGAAACAGGGCTGTGCTAAGACCTATATTTTGGGATCTGGCCAAAATCAACTGTTTTAAATAATCGTCATCAACTTAATTGAGGAAAAGATGCTCATAAACCAGAGTGAGAAACCTTCAAATATAGGGGGACATCTGTGATTCTCACAACAGTTACTGCACTATGTCTTATCAGCAGAAATTTCAGGAAAGGGTGGGAATGCAATTGTAACACTACCTGAATATAAAAAAGTGTGAATAGATTTTTATAGCACAAATGGTAACTCAGTAACTTAGTAAAAAGTCAAAAAGGCTGAGGTCACCTTATATTCTTTATCTTTTTCTAGAAAAAAAATAAATTTGGGGTTGGAACGAGACGATCTTTAAGGTCCCTTCCAACCCAAACCATTCTGTGATTCTCTTAAGTTATTTAATGATAGTTATTACAGTTCTCACAGAAAGGCTTTTCTGTGCCCAGGAATTTCTGGGCTTCTTTCACAACTGATTAAAGAATTTATGGAAACATCTCCCTGCCCTGCACATGAACCGAAACAGCAGGAATAGGAAAAACCTTGATGCTGTTTCCTGCTTCGAAGTGAAAAGCACCACACTTATCGCTGAGCATCCTTCATCTCAGGAAAATAAGGCCTCAGGGTGTCAAAGAGGGCACCTGGAATAGACCAAGAGTTTCACCAGTTTGGCTTTTAGGTCAGCTCGGTCAGGCACACAGGAACCTTTCAGGCTGCAGACTGACGTATTTCTGTAAAACTGTAATCTATTCAGGCCTTTCACTGGTGAAATTGGAATATTAATATCTTCATGCACACAAAGAGCAAATTGATTTCTCTCACAACTTCTGCAGTACATGTTATTTTGCTATGGTGAGCTGTGGCCTCTTCATGCTCCTGGATGTGTTTCAGCTGTGTTACTCTACACACCTTCTACCTTTAGGAGAAGCTTCAGGGATAACAGTGCTCAGGAGGAGGAAAGCAGTAGTATTTCTGTTGCAACTGGCTCCATCATTTTCAAAGCATGATAGATGTAATGGTATCTCGCTCTTTCCACATCATTAGAGCCCAGAGGAACATACCTGAAACAAGCCAAGCAGCAAAACCTACCAGGAGAGCTCATCCTGCTACACTCAGCACTTTGTTTGCAGCTGGGAAAGCCATTGAAGGCATGTGCAGATTCAAGATGCCTCTTGCTGCTCTTATTTACTCCGGCTGGCACCACTTTGTGTTAAGTAGTGGCATTTCGATATCCCCATTTTATATTATAGTTGATAAAGCCAAAAACTCCACTTTTTCCACTGAACTGTGCCACGGATAAGACTCCTGGGACTGCCACAGCCCATGTTTTCATTCAATAACATCCACTGTTTTTGTGGTCTAAGGTGTAGGAATGGGAAGCACCAAGATAGACTCAGCTCATGGAATATAGTTTGCATGAGAAAAGAAAATGATTTTTGTTTCTCCTTAAAATTCACTTTTAAGGGAGATAGTCTAACCCAGCTTTGTTAACATTTGAGCATACATCAAAAAACAAGGCGACATCAGTTTTCTCCCCATGTTAGAGGCAGTGCTCCAGTTACAAATGACATCCTCTCAGCGGGAGAATTCCTTTTCATTGCTGTTCTCTGGGTTGAGCAAACTGACACATCAGTTGTCAGTGTAAGGCCAAGAGCAGTGACAAGATGTGTGTGCTCTTGGGAAGTGCGAAGATAGAAGTTTACAACATCAGCAGCAGCACTTAAAAGTAGAAATCGGGTGGTTTTTTTTTTAAACTCTACCGATGGAAACGAGAATCATCCAATGGTATTTCCAATATCTATTTCTAATATCTCTTGAATAAGATCAAGATAAAATTTTGCCTTGAAATTCGCTGCTACACAGACAATCTGAAAAGGAGAATTATAGCTAAGAATTAACATGGCTTTATGTAAAACATGCACTGAGGATTTTCAATCCATGGCAATTGGAGCTAACATGGACCCTTCCCTGGAGTTCTACAGTGCTTGAAGTGGCAGGGCAGGCTGCAAGAAGCCCACACTCTTGCGTTTTGGTTTCATAAGTTGTGGTTTTGCCTCTGGAACTTCCAACCAGACACATTTTCCACATGCAATTAAATAATGGTGAGTGAGTTGTGGTATGTGACGTTTAATTTTCAATGGCTGGAGAAAGTAACACAGGAGCTGCAGGCAAGATCATTAATCTCCTCCAGATCCTCTGAGCTGCCAAGGATAGCAACTCATTCCTCACTGTGCTAATGTTGCTCTTCCATCATTTCTGTGTATGCTGTACCAGGCAGAGCCATGCCAGTAAATGTACACATTTACATGCATTCACCCACAGATTATTACACTGTTCACAGGGAATATGTGGATGAGCAGAGAATATAAAACAATATCAAGTATGATGTATATGTTAGTGAGAAGATCACATTATAAAATGGCATGGGCATAAATGCCCAACAAAAGTCACAGCTGGAATTTATTCTTAAATACACATTTATGAAATTCCAGTGTATTAAAGCATATGTGAGTCCTGGGAAAGAGGCAGCTTCTTCCCAGACCTCCTGCCCAGGGTCATAAGAGCAACACTTCCTGAACTTCTGAGTGAATGTATGCAGGTGTCTTTAATTCACATACAAAGAGGAAAAATTTTCATGCTTGGAGCAAAATAAAAATGCCTGCATGTAATTCTTATGCAGATGAAAGGCTGTTTTAGCATATTCCCTCCCACACAGTCCATCCCAGTGCTCCTTGGCAAAGTCAGGCTTCGCCTCTGCACAAACAAGTCAAAGCTCAACTTTAAAATCCTCTTTTGATGCCCACACAAAGGTATCCTTCACACTTTCACCCAGTCCGTGCTCCAAGTACTCCATCCACACTTTCCTGTTCCTTTCCCAGGAGTCCCAAGCCTCTGAACCATTTTCACTCTCCCCTGGAAGTCTGGGTGAGCAAACTGCCCACCTCAACTTTATCCTGAACCAACCTAAAGCACTTTTGGTTGGAAGAAGTAGCTCTCATCAGGGTGCTCCAAAGCCCAAGAGGAACAGCTCAAGTCTTCAGCAGACATCCCTAAAATCAGCATTCAATGACATTAGATTCATATTTTTTACGTTACTAAGCAGAATTCTTCAATTTTTCCAAGAACAGTCAAGAAAAAGGTTTATTCCACTTCAAAGAGAACTGAGCAAGTTCAGCAATTTCAAAACAGGCTAAATATGTAAATATGTCATGTAATAGACTAAAGTGCAACAAATGTTTTGATGAGAACTGTTCTTACCGTATGAAAACCAGCTTGACCTTTGATGGGGCAGTTTTAATGATTGCAGAAGCATTCTGGTGACTTCTTCCATACAATATCTGATTGTTTATCTGTTAAAAGAAAACGGTTTTCACGTAAGTGGAGAAGTACACCTTGTTTTAATTTATACAACCAAGACTTCCAAGTTTACTGTGGGAAAAGGAGATAAGGCTCAAAGACAGTGTGGTCTGCAAAGTCTAGACCTATACAAAACAAGAAGAAATGCAGAGCTAATTTACTGTTATTAGTAAGCCACAAATGAGAGCCATCTTTTTTTTTTTCACAGATCCCTAGAATGGATTTTAAGGATTGCTCCTAGATTTTTAAAAAACAACTTGATCTGAGAAGAATCAGACAGATGACAACAGCACAGATGCTTAGACAGACACTCCTATACTTTACCTGCAGGCTACTGGACATTTAGGAAAACTGGCTATTAAGATTGTGCTGACTCCTCAGCTCTGCTGAAGGAAACAGAACTGACAGTCATGGAGATGAAGGACAGTTTAAGGATACGCCACATCACTTTTGCTATGCACAGCATAGCACTTAAAGCACAGTAACAGGCACTACTTTGGACACTTTTCTGTGTGCAAGCCATTGCTGTTTTTTCAGAGGGAAACAGCCTGGCTATGGACATGAGCCAGGTGTGCCCAGGTGGGCAAGAGGGCCAATGACACCTGGATTGTGTCAGCAATTGTGTGGCCATAGGACCAGGGCAGTGCCCATCCCCCTGTGCTGGGCACTGTGAGGCCACACCTCGAAATCTGGGGACAGTTCTGGGGTCCCCAGTCCAAGAGGGACATTGAGGGGCTGGAGTGTGCCGAGGGAAGGGAACAGAACTGGAGATGGGTCTGGAGCACCAGGAGTGGCTGAGGGAGGTAGGAGGGCTCAGCCTGGAGAAAAGAAGGCTTGAGGGGACCTTCTCACTCTCTGCAACTCTCTGACAGGAGGGTGGAGCCAGGTGGTGTTGGGCTCTGCTCCCAGGGAACAAGGGACAGGATGAGAGGAAACAGCCTCAGGCTGTGCCAGAGGAGGTGTAGGTTGGTTATTAGGGAAAATTTCTTCATGGAAAGGATTGTCCAGCACTGGCACAGCTGCCCAAGGCAGTGGTGGAGTCTCCATCCCTGGAGGGATTTAAAAGCTGCGTGGATGTGGCACTTGGGGACACAGGTTAGTGGTGGCCTTGGCAGTGCTGGGGGAATGGCTGGACTCGATGATCTTGAAGGATTTTTCCAACCTAAACAATTCCATGATTCAATACTGCAGTTTTTTCCTCCCACTCTTAATTTACAACATAATATTTACATTCACATTTGATATACCAATGCTGTTTAAAACAATAATGATAACGGAGCCCAGGAACAATTTACTAGTGATTATAGAAGGAATTTTTGTTACTGCAAATGTTTGTATTGGATTCGGGGTTTGTGGTCTTAGAAGATTTTTTCATTCAAACAAGAAGTAACTGGCCAAATCTTCCAGCCTTGTGTGATATGGGCTCGTCGGTCAGGTTGGGAACTTCACAGTACTTCCATCTTATTTTCAGTGGGTCAAAACAAGATGTAAGTTCATCAGTTAAATAAGGACAATGCCAGGACAAGAATAAAACCCCTAACACTCGATTGGTCATTGGGATTGAAGTGCAAAGCGTCTACCTACCAAATCATTTACTGTGTAAAGAGAGACCCAAGAAAGGTCCACAAAGGCCTGAGCTGGCATGAAATGATCAGCACTGAGGAAATAACATCATGTCAACATTCCTAATGGTTAAATACGGTTTTGTCTGCAACTGCCGTGGTGGCAAAGATAGGGAGAAAAGCAACATCCTAGGCCAGACTTTGCTAATCAAAGATAAGCTTAAAAATCCAGGGGCAAAAATAAATGCTCAGTTGCATTCCGGCTTCAAGTTCAACTTGAAACTTTCAGTGAGTTTGTTGACTTAATTTCTCCAAGCTCAAGAATAATTTATTCACTGGGAATAGTGTATGCTTTACAAATTGTTTGGATTTAGTTAAATTACCATCAATTCTTCTAAACAGCAGACTTCTTAGATTAAAATTTATAGTCTTTACTCTGGCTAAATTAATCCTATTCGCTACACGTATCAAATAGTCCAAAATTTAATTAGCTGTGAGCTGGGTCTGTAAGTTATAATTATTTAATTACACCAAAATGAAAGCATAATCAAAGTAATATATCTCCACAAGGCTACGGGCTGTCCCACATAGTTATTACAGCCAGTATTAATTTTTTTTTTTTAAAGTGTCACTTTCTTTTGCAAAATAAATTCATGCTGTAGATACCACAGTGATGAGCAAAGCACAAAAGCCTACTTAAATAAAACAAAAAAGAGAGCGTCTAGGATTTCAGAAGAAACACCATTTTAAATCTTTCAATTTAAATAAAGTAACACGTCAGATTAAGCAAATAGTACTTTGAGAGTCAAAATGTATCAATCTGTGCTTTACTTTTTTCATTAGAGATTAGAAAAGAAAAGCAAAGCCTCGACTAAGCAAAAGAAATAAACTGATCTAAATCAACCTCAACTCTTCTTTAAATGTCTCTTTCTATAACCCCTTGGAAAGTCAGCAGAGCACAGAGAAAGATAAAAACATGCTACAGGTATGAGGTCAGGTCAACACACAAGTTCAATCTTTAATATTGCTTTATGGTAGATTTAATCACATATCCTAACTGTACTGTTGCCTTCACCTACAAAAGTTTTGGTTTACAGTTTCATGCACTGAGGTAGCAGAAAGTACAAACTCACGGAAATCTGAGCTCTTAAATTCAGAGGAAAAAATTTAAAGGATTGTTTGCTTCTCAAACTTTAATTTGCAGAAGAGAAACATTAGATATGGATATTAAAAAAACCCGCCAAAACCCCACAGTGTTTTCACTACGTGGCAGTAATGGAAATCCATAAAATTAGTATCATCTGATTTTTATGAAAATGAAGTTAAATGATACCCCAAAGCTAGTAAAATACTGGCGTAGCTTTCTGTAATAATTATTTCTTTGTACCCGTGCAGGAGGTTCCTTCTAACCACAGGAATTGTAGCATTTTGAGATACAACCAGACCCTCTGAAACAATGGAAAAAGTTTCCAGAACTTTTTTATCAGTCAAATTTTATATATTGAAACCCCATAAAACAGACCAAGCTCCCAAATAATAAAGCATGAGGAAAACATTGGAGAGAAAAAAGTAACTAGAATGTGAATTTCCCTTTCCTCACCAAATTTCTTGCTGGGCACACATTCAAACATGTGCATCATCTAAAGTGATCAACAGACCGTAAACTCCATAAGGAGAGAAAACATCCTGCTCTGAGCTGGCAGCTCATCCCCATGGCTTCCCACCTGCAGAGTGTGGAGAGAGAGACAGGACATCGGAAAACCTGTGCCCTCCTCCACAACAGCTTTTCCATCACAGCCTTACCTATTTGCAGCTTTAAAATCACCACTTAAAACTAACCTTAACTGTATACAAAGTATTTTTTCCCTCCTTTGGAAAAAATTAAAAGGACATAGGCATAGGTTGCCCAGAGAAACTGTGGATGCCCCATCCCCGGAAGTGTTCAAGGCCAGGTTGGATGGGGCCTGGAGCAACCTGGTCTAGTGGAAGGTGTCCCTGCCCAGGGCAGGGGGTAGAACTGGGTGAGCTTTAAGGTTCCTTCCAACCTAAACCATTCTATGATTCTATTCTACGATTCTGTAGAAATCCAAAAACAAATAAACTGAGAATAAAACACATTTTATGAAACATAAGTAGCATTGTGAATTTGGCTGGGTAACTAATTTACTTGGGCAATATACTGCTGTATCTATTATATTATTACAGCATAACTTCAATTTATCTAAGCATAGCGATAAAAATGCACTTCACACAAAAGCTCTCTGGCTTTGAGCTATGACAAAAATGACACAAAAAAATAAAAAGTAATAATTGCCTCTCAGGCAACAGTCCAGAATGGACAACAGGCAAACTCTGTGGTCAGTCTTGACTCTGAAGACTGGTTTTTACTCTTTCAAGAAGTGCTGCGGCCTCAGACAACAAAACAAAGAATCACAGAATGGGTTGTGTTGGAAGAGACCTTAAAGATGATCTCATTCCAACTCCCCTGCCACAAGCAGAGATACTTCCACATGCAAACAAGCAGTTTCCTTCCACCTCCTGCCTCATCTTCATCAAGATAAGCAAGGATGGGGAGTTGGCAGCATATCCCAACATCAGTAATTTAGCATAACTGGGCTCTCAACAGCTTGGTTTATTAATAGAGCACAGTTGAGTCTCTTATGGAGAGATGATAATAATAATAATAGCAGGGTGGATTCTGCAGTGTGAATAAAACCTCCCAACAGGACAGAGCCATGCAGAGCTCAGGAGCAGCAGGGCTCAAAGCACAGGGACAGCTCCAGGTGAACACACTGCGGGCCATGCTGGGCACAATCACAAACAGGACTGAGCCCAGACTAATAAGACTCGAAGCAGTGCAGACACCTGCACTAAAACAGCAAGAGTGCGAGGTAGGGACACCACAGATGGTTCCTCTGCTTGGAAAAAGAAACGAAAAGCAGAACTTGTGCCCAGTAAAAAACACATTCTTCTGCACAGAGACCAAATCCCGACCCAAGTAGTTTTCCTCCATGTATGACAGCAGGATGAAAGGACCTTCTCTCTCAAAAATCTGTTTTCTTCAGCCACATACCCATCCGAAACACATCACTGAATATGGAAATGATTAAAAAATAATGATTACATACAACTTTTTTATGTGATCTGCATTTCCCTCAATGTACAGGCTGTGAAAACAAGCCACGATCATGCTCCCAGAAGACTACTGTTGTTTGCGGAAGCTAAAAGTGAGATGATATTTCATTAATTCACTGACAAAAGATTTTATGAATAAGGTGCTGAGGTACATCCTTCAATTGAATCCAATCAAACTCCAGTTCAAAAGAAAAATGAACAGGTAATATCTATCCATCTCTAACTCCATCCCATTAACCTTAACTCCATCAAAACCCACAGGGAGTAGTCTGCACATAGTAGTAATGGAGCAAGACTAAGCAACAGGATTCGCTGGGACACCCAAGGACAGTGCAGAGATGCCAGAGGCTTCCCAAGATGTGAATTCCTTCTCTTGTTGATACGTTCCAGTATTGAAAACTGATGTTTAATCACAGATGCAAATATACCTAAAACATGCAGTTAGATGAGAATCAAACATGAGCTCTGTCATTTCCTCACTTCTGAGCACCCGAGTTTGCAATTCATGCTCCTCTAACATACTTCGTTGTAAAAGACACTGCAAGTAAAGTCAGTTGACCACGCTGACCTCTGCATCCCTGGCATGGAAGCAGCATGAAATAATATTGGAGATATTCAAAAGCCATCTGGATACAATCCTGGGCAACTGGTTTGATGTGGCCCTGCTTGAACAAGGGAGTTGGACCAGATGACCTCAGGAATTGTTCTCCTGCCCACCAACAACACACCTTTAATTTGATTGCAAAGGTAACCAAGAGAAGCAGTTACTAAAGTCTTTTGAACTTTTTATTTGAAGTTTGGCATTTTTGAGATGGAGAACCTCACTTTTCTTCCAGTGGAAAAAAAAAAAAAAGAAAATCTTTTTATCTCCAGCTTAACAGGGAGAGGAATTAGAACAGCACCACCAATTTGGAAAATGCTCCTTATAACATGGCTCATCCATGCAAATCCCAAGCCTTGAGGGATATGTGATTAATCACAGATGGTGCATCTTTCAAGTACTGCTGGCACTACTTAACATTAGATCTTCTCTTCTACCAGGAACTACCAATGATATGCACAGAGGAAATCAGTACTGTGAGTTCTTTCAACTGGTATGCACCCAAAACTCAACAATTTGCCTTTTTTTTTTATACCATTAAAATTCAGTGTCAGGGATAGAAAAATATAAATTTGAAGGAGCAAGTAATTTTCCTACCCTACTCCATTACGGTATAGACCTTCACACCATTTCTCACACTTAAAATGAAAATAACAAATTTCAGATGGGGGTGTTTTTATAGCAAAACATCTTTCTTGTACTATGTGTATTGAAAACCCCTAATTGCAGAACTGTTAGACAACAACAAATGCTTAGCCAATTCTGAGTACTCCCAAGGTATCCCCAGGCAGTCAAACTGCTCTTCTCAAGTCAAGAAAAGTGAAAAAATAGGTGGTTTTCTGATTGCACAGAGAGCTGCTGAAAGATCAAAGCATCACCACCCACGGAGTACAGCAGGTCAGCATATCCCTGCTCTTCAGTGAGAGCTTCTCTCTCAGGGTAAGATCCCCGGAGATGGATGATTTTTTTAAACCACTGAAGCAATCATGACGCGGGGAATCACTGCAGGTACCGCAGCAAAGTGTCATTTTGCAACGGTCAAAAAATCAGATGAAGTGAAGGAAAGCTGTGCTTTCAGTCTGAAGGTGAAGGAAGGAGATTGGAGGAAAGGTGAAGACAAAATACTCCAGTTGCTAATGAGCTCTCTTGCCTCGTGGGTGAACTTGTGCCAGACACAACTAAACAAAATAAGTATTTTAAACAGATTATAGCATGAAATTTATTTTCAGGATAGGGAATATCCCTGTCATCTGTAAAAACACATATGGTAACTTTGAGGGGTTTTGGGTTTTTTTTAATGTAAGGTGTGAATTTCCCTGTAAAACCACATATGCACTACAAGGATGGATTTACTGTCCCCTTCCTGCCTTTCAACAGTCCCTCCCAACGCAGAGCTTGTGAACATGCTGAGAGCACAGACTTCGCTGACAAGACATTAGTTTTCACAGGCCAATGATTTTTGTTTCACTGAAAACACATTTACCTGCCAAAGGCCAAGTTCTCAGTTGGCATAAATCAGCACAGCTCCTTCCCTCAGCCACCTAATTCCACTTGCAGGCTTTATTTAAGGTTCAAATGATGGCTCCACATATGCCTCTCCCTCTCTCCTCATGAGCCTTGCTTAAGAGCTAAAGGAAACACTTACTTCTAGGAGCTCATCACCAATGTGCATCCTTCCATCTCGTCCCGCGGGTCCATCTGGATTGATCCCAACTACAAAGATGCTCATCCGGGAGCGGTCCTTGTTGCCAGCGAGGCTGAGTCCCAGCCCATTTTTGTCCTTCTCAAGCTCAATAATGTGCAACTCTCCTGGGAGATCTGCATATCTTTGCCTGATTTTTTCTAGGAAGGTCAAACATAAAATGAGTTAGAACATGAAATAACTTATACACAGATGTTCAAGAACACATACAAATACGCTAGAAATTTATGACTTCTCAGCAAACAGTGTTTTTAACAAAGGTCTTTTCAGCACAGACTCTAAAATACTGTTTGCTGTGTGTGTATCATTCACACAGCAAAATGCAGCATCAGCTGCAAATATTGTTCACATTAAACCCACACTATTTTAATTATTTGTACAACAGCCTGCTTCTAAACCAAAAATTTTCTGTAAGGAGCATAAACAAGGAAATTCCAGAGGTACCTTTACTGTACAAACCCCATCAAATTCAGGAAACCCTCATAAAGTTCGAGCTGGTTAATTAACCACTGCGGGAAACTGAAGCCCTTAATGGTTCCAACATTACTGCAGACTCATATCTCAAGGTAAAACCTTCTGCTTCTTTCTAGTGACTCAGGACTCTGCTCACCATGCTCTGCTTAACACGAGGTGCTGCTGCGCGGGCGATTACGCAGAGCAGATGTCAGTGACAATGTAGATGAGTGATTATGCTTTTAAATGCAGCTTCACTTGATATTAAGGTGGTTATTTGTCTTTCATCTACATTTCAACCATCCCTGTGACAAGAGCTCAATGTATTTACAAAGTTATTTGAAGCACACTGCGTGGCTGTGGATGCTGACAGTTTAATCTGACTGTCTTTTCACCAACATCTATCACTGTTGCTGGTGAGGGTGATTTTTTTTTCTGCCTGCTTTTCCTTTACAGATTTTAAAGCCAGTTTTAAACATCCAATGCTTCAGATAGGCCACACATTTAAAAAAGCAAGTCAAAGGATATCGCCATGACTGGATGTCACCTTTAGTACAGAGCCCAAGGTGAAAGAAACTGCTGCATTATGCATTAAAAGGAGAAATAAGGGATATTCTATGTTCGACCATATCCCTGAGTCAGCAGCAGGAGCTAGATCAATATTAGCTACTACCATCCTCCTGGGGAAGCATATTTTAATAGTATGTTTAACTACTGTAGTGAGTGTTCCCATGACAACAAGAAAGAGGGAAAAGAGCTGGGGAAGGTGAGAGGGAGGCAACTAAAAGTGAATAAAAACTGCTGAGAAGAAAGGTGATGAAGTAGAAACGTTCCTTCCACATCCCCTGTGCTGTCAGGGTGATTTAGCCAAACTTGGGTCATTCCCAGCAGCTCTTCTCTCCAACGGTCCTTCCCGAGTAATTGTTCCAGCTGCAGCAGCCCCTTGTGCCTTGGCAGAGACCACTGGGACAAAGGCAACAGCCTTCCATCTCCAACCCCAGGTGCACCAAAGAGCATTACCTGCACTCAGAGAAACACACACAAGAACCAGCTCTCCCACCGTTGTATTTATAGGCTAGCATTTTCTGCCACATTCAAAATCCCTGGTGCCTGAGCCTAAAAGCTGGGGTGTGTACATTAAGGATGAGATGTTATCCCTACAAAGCTGTTAAAGCTCTCCAGAGGTCTGTTACAAAATCAGAATATTTTAAAGAAATGGATAACTCATTTTTTACTATCAATTACATGCCAAAAAATTCATATAAGTGCATTAAACGGTAATCCATGTAGCTGCAGAATTCTTTAATATATTTCTTAGGTAATGGGGTCAAAATATAATTAGAGGTGTGATTTGCTACATGAATTTGGAAGCTGTTTCTTGTACGCAGGATACGTCCTGAAAAAAAACAGCAAGAGGAAAGGTCTTGAAAATTGTGCTTCTGAACAACAGGAGATACAGGCATGTTTATTCATATCACCAAGGTTTAATTTACTTTGCCCATGAAGCAAGTCCAGACCCGAAGAGCATCAAGACATTTGCTGCCCACCACAATTAGACAAATAACTCATTACAGCTGCAGTATATCCCAGAACAGGTAATGGGTAGAAAAGGGTTTTCTTATTGATTGCATTTTTGTGGACAAAGGAAAGACTCAGTGCTGGAGGGATGCTGTTGACTGATCATTGCGCTGCCACAATTCCTTTCACTGCTTGTCGTACACAGGGAACACATCTCACTTTCACTTGCCAGAAGCAAGGAACATGTCTAAAGCATATTTTTAACAACTTACAGTCAGAAGCATGGAAAAAAACTGAAGAAGCAACGAACGCACACACTTAAATGCAGTACAGATGAAGCTGCACACCTTCAGAGCCTGCTTCAAAACTCATTTCTTGCTTGTCAATAAAACTGCTTGAAATTCCCCAGCAGGAGCAGCCCTGTGACATTGCAAACACACATTGCTCCAGCCTCTGTCTGCAGACATAGTGCCTCTGAGGCTGCCAGTAAGTCTGTAATTCCGCAGTGTTTCCTCCTCAAAATGAGTTTTCTCACATGGGAAAAATGTTAGCAGTTCAGAAGCACACATCGATTCCTGTTCTGAGCTGGGCTGAAACTAAAAGTAAGTTTAAGTCCTCCAAAAATTAGTAGTTCGGGCAATTGCCTGGGACAAGACAGAGTCCCACCAAAGTTTCTGGCCTGCCTGCATTGGGCCAGGACTGGAAAGCTGTTGAGCTGATTCCCAGCTCAGCGCTCCAGCTGTGCCATAATCCCCCACTGGGGGAACAAATCATTGGGTAAAGAAAAATTTATCTGGGCAAAAACGAGAGATCAACTCCAGGGGTCATCAAATTGCTTCTATTTATTAAGAGATTGGATTGTTACGGCTTGTTTTTTTTAGGGTCTTCCGTGTTGCCTTATTTGTTTGAAGAAAATCTTACTCACATGGAAGGAATCATAGAATCAGCTGGGTTGGAAAAGACCTCTGAGATCATCAAGTCCAACCCTTGATCCAACACCACCATGGTTACTAGACCATGGTACTAAGTGCCACATCCAGTCTCATCTTAAAAACCTCCAGAGATGGAGAATCCACCACTTCCCTGGGCAGCCCGTTCCCATGCCTGATTACCCTCCCTGTAAAGAATATCTAACCTAAACCTCCCCCGGCAGAGCTTAAGACTGTGTAGACTAAGCCCTTCATTCTAAATCATCACATTCATTTCCAAAGCAGCTATTAGAAACAGCTGAGGTGACTAAATGATAAAATAGTGGGAGATCACGGAGAAACCACGAAGATGCTTCATGCTGAGCACCATTTCCAGCCTGGCAGGAGGGCACTGCTTTCCAGTGCTGCTGGAGAAGAGACACGTTTGTGTGGACATGCTTCTGCACGTCGGGACTAGCAGAGACACCCCGGCTTTTTAAATCAAGCCTCCCTCAGCACATGCTGCCTCCTCCCTGACCAACAGAAGGTTCTGGCTCTTCCCAATCCCACCTCCTGCAATTAAACCCTTGGAAGGGCTGTCCTCACCAGCCTTGCTCCATAAATGATAACTCCGCTATTCCAGTGGATGTTGCTTCAGTCATTCAATCTGCATACAAATACCCTTTGGGCATCCAGCTGACTTCCTACAACACTGTCATGGTAGTCTCAGTCTGCCTCTTAATAAGAATCTCATAAGATTATTTTAAAAAAGTATTTACTGCTTAAACAAACGTGCATCTAAGGCATCTTCTTTCTAATGCCTTTTTCAGCTGTTTTTTCTCCCCTCCAGCTGGTATCACTTTTCAGTTGCCTGCCTAGCGTTGGGGAGCCAGTTAGCATCTGCTTTTGCAAAGAATTCCATTATCTGCCTTCATTACCAGATACTTTACACAAGGCAATTGTAATTCTGTTGTTGCTGCATTACACATGGGACACAGCGATTCCTGTTTTGGCACCACATTCGGTGACAATATGCCTATCACAACTTTTACAAACATATCTCACCAAGGATATTTAACTGCTAATATTGCATCCAGGTTCTTTTAAAAATACTACACAGCTGTAACATGAACTAAAAGCACAAGTAAACACTTTAGTGATCTCTCCTGCAATAATATCTCCCAGTTATATTAGCAGACAATTACATTTCAAAGAGAAACCCTGGAAATGGAAGACAACTGCTCTCAAACAATATACTATTATGCTGCTGCATATGTTTCCCTGCCTCAGCCACTATTCCTATTATATTAAACAGAGAGATAAAAGAAATAAATGGGGACAATATGGTCAGGATATTGGAGTTTGCATGATCTAGTATTGCAACAAACACACAATTTATCTGCACAGCAAAACCAGACACCACTTCTCAGGAAGGCAAAAGGTTCTTTAAATTACAGAGAGATATAAAGCACTTGAAAAGGGCTGAGAAGCCTGTTTCCCAAACCTGCTGAAATATCCAGTTAAATGAGCTGAAAGGGAAGAGGTATTGCTTTGGAAAATGGTGTCTCTGTGTGATGCAAATGAGAGTCCATCTAGAAAGGTAAAAGGAGGATTGAAAAATCTCTGGATGACTCAGCTAGGTGATTTGGTTTAGTATCAAATGCTCAATATTAAAACTGTCAAGGCAAAATACAGAGAAAAGAAAGGGGAAAAAACACCACAGAGAGAGACAGAGCCGGTATTTGTATATAGAAGGTGATACTGAGGATTTTACATCCCTCTTGTGTCACGTCAGATAACTATTAGCAACATATGCTGGTTTTTGGAGACTTTACAATGATCTCATTTATCAGCCTGTGTTCATTCTAATGTGTTTAGCTCCCATTTTTTATTACATAGCACATAACATGGTTACAGTCCTGGCCTTTTCCGAGATTTCCCTGCTCAGACAGCAGTGCTGCAGCATCAGAACCACTGTTCTTCACTTAGTAATGATAGACATCAGAATGCAGGCAGCATCCACTACACAGAGCCAACCTTGCATATCAAGCAACTAATTCCCTTCCTGATTTCACTATAAACATTAAAAAAAAAATAATGTAGGAAGTCCCTTGAAAGCTAACCCTGGAGCTGTGAGGGCAGCACGTCTAATTTACTGATTACAATTTACAAGAACCTAAATAAGCATATTGAAGGGACCATAATTGAACAAATGGGGTTTAGAATTCTCCCACTACTAATAATATAATAAGCTTATTGTT